TTGTGTAATTTATAATTTATTTAAGTGGATTTCGGAATTAATTTTTATATGAACATCCAATTTTTTTTCATAAAAATAGCCATTTCATAAATTACAATGAGYAATATAATATCAATATCATATTAAAATAAATAAACATCATTAGAATATTACAATATTTTTCATGTTTTGGTTTATCACCCAAACAAATATTATGCCCCCTCCCTATACGCACAATCACATTCGTCGCATATATAATATATATTACTTACTTTAATATTTTAGAACATTAATTTACGGATGAATGCTTGAAAACACAGTTAGTTTGTATAAAAACATAAAATTRATGCAATTTTAGTTTGATAAAAAYAATACATTTTGATTTTAAAATATTTTATGCATCTATTGAGTTTAAGTGACAAAAAACCTAATAGTTATAATAATTTTATTAGTATTTATAATTTATGGTGTCGTCAAGTATTCTTTACTTCAACAATTATATTCATAAATTTGAAATAATAATATAAAGAGTGGATTTACCAATCGTCAATCATGCTTACCCTCATTTTTCTTTTAAAAACGGATTTATTTAAATTCTAATTTTTATAATTTATAATTTTTATACTGAAAAACAATTTTTAATAATTCTTAAATTTTTTCTTGTATTACCTACTTAAAGAGTGTAAGTGGTGATACAAACTTCTCTTGTTCTATGTCTTAATCATATCATATCCTTCAATGCTTTGCTCAGTCAAATACATATTTTTTTATATACTTATCACATTATCCTCTGAGGCGTGATTTGCTGAATTATATCATACATTATTATGTGATCGAAATCCATCGAAAGGAAATGACAATTTTAAAATATGACGGCACATCATTATTTTAGTGACCAATTTGGTTATATATTTCTCAGATGGATTTAAAAATCTAATCATAATATTAATATCAGTACAACATTCCCATATATCATACACTTCACTTCTATACGTTTGATTATTTCCCGATTCGAAATAGATTATTATTTCATTTTCGCTTACTAATCTTTTTCTCTTCTACAGTTCTAACTGTCTATATACCATTTCTAGAAAATGAAACTCCTTTACAATCTTGCAGCTGTCTTCACGGGTAGACGATTTAGCGTCTTTATACTCCGCGTTCTACTGCCGTAATGCTATACTTGAAATCGTGTC